AATTATAATAAAGGGTTTAATTTCCTTCTCGATCGCTTTGAATTGGCGAATTTTTATAAGTTCCATGTTGACTATCAAAAATGGAAAATCGATTAATATGTATGTAGCATATTTTCAAAGAGATGCAGCTGCTTTTTGAGAGAGTGACATATTCTATTATATTCCCTTTTATTTACAGTGTATACAGAGTACGACTTGCCGTACTTTTTGACATTTTCTTGATATGGTTCTTTTTTCCAAGCTCTGGTAGGAATTTATTTTGATTTGCAACAAATTTGCTGCGGCATTGTGTATTTTGTGTGTGTGTATGTGTGTGCGTGCGTTGGTGTATGCTTAACGTTTTATTGCTTTTCACACTCGTCACTCGCCAGTTGCCACTTGCCACTTGCCACTCGCCACTCCAGGCAGTTGAGGGCCCGCCGGGAGGGTTGTCTTTAGCGCCTGGAACTGGGCGCTTTGTTTACTTTGTTTGTGGCGTGAATAGCAAATAAGCCGCGACAAATGCGATTCGATCCCATAGTTCTCTGTGGCATTGTGCGGCCTGGATTTTCCTCTGCGATTTGATGGACCGAAATGTGGCGCGAACCGCAGCTGTAAATACATTTATTCTAATTACAGCGCATTCAGCAAACGCTGCAAAATAATTTAAACATTTGCCGCCTCATTAGTTGGCTGTGATATCGAAAATAAAATTGCAGCAAAATACTCGTTAAATGGCAAAATGCATTTGCCGTAATACTCTGTGGCCACAAAACCAATTTGCGTTACAAATTTATATCAGCCAAAGCTGCCTCATCCACCCAGCATATTGGAAAATTAAATGCAATTGCTTTGGCTTTGGCTCTGGCTTTGGCTCTCGTTTCTCGTGTCTCGTGTCTGTGGTTGCAGAATTGATTGATTTTGCTGTGACAGCAACAGTAATTGAAAATATTTGTTAACTATTAGTTTACAGATATATCCATTCCCATATCCACACCCATAGCGATGCCACCTGGTTACCTGCGTCAGGCATCCCTTCCTGGGCACACTTCCGTAATTCCCTTCAGCTTCTTACAGTGGGCCGCCTCGCGTTTAATCCCACTTCAAGCGAAGCCTCAAGAGGCTCCTCATTCTTTCTTATCTATTGATGCGCCAAAGCGTGTCAGCTGCTTGGCTGTGGGAAGCAGGCGGGAGGATGAGGCACGGAGCAGGGAAGTGGGCTGGGCAAGGGCTGTTTGTGGTTCCATCGCTACAATAACAGAAAAGCCTTTTTACAATGCGCTCCACAGATTTCAATGTATTTTCAACAACTCCAATTCTAAATACCCCGAAAACGAATATAATAGAGGGTGGGTATACTAAATATGTGTTTCAAGTAGCAACAACTTCATAAGTCTTAGCTATGCTACGCTGCAGGGTATTTTGTAGTCCAGCCATGCCATTTCGTTCGCTCCCATGTTTTCTGAAACATTTATTTATTTTTTTTTTTAATTCGTTGCAAATTGAATAGACGACAGTGACGATTGCCATATAGCATTATCACCTACACACCCAAAGTTTTGAATAGCTTGTAAGCAATTGGTTCGATTCCTAGTCAGTCCCTCATACCAGAGAGCCTTTCCGTCTCCCCCAGCTCGTGCTCCCCCTGCCCCATCTATACCATTAGCTTTTGTATTTCGGCTGCGTCGCGTATATCACATTTCCGTTTGTTAGCATTTTTCCGCATTGTATATTCGCATACTGACTCGCACGAGTGTATTCATGTACGAATATGAATAGCAAGAAGTTTTCTGCTCAACTTGATAGCCCCAAACACAAACCCAGCCCGAGCTCCAGCCCCAGCCACGCAACTGAAGCCCTTTCCAACCCAATTCAACTTGCATGCAAAAAAATTGCCATTGTAAATTTTGACTGGGGTTATGCGAGCGACAAGGGGTTTCCCTCTCTCTCTCTCCCACTCCCACTCTCCACTGGATGCTGTTGTGTTGATTTGAAGGCAGCTCACGCCCTCCTCAGCTGCCTGCGTTTGTAAATATTTTCCACACGTCTACACAAAAGGTAGAACTAAACTATGCTCATTGATTTCTTTCTTCAGGCAATGCATTAGCGCTAGTTGTACGATGATTTATAACGGTATGCCAATTTGGTCTGCCTAATTTCCTAGGTCTTCATTTGAGAGCCTATCAATAACTTGTGCTTAGGCAAGTGCACGCATTTTAATGTTATGTTATAAAGACTGTCCTCCTATTATTCCCATAGAAAGCAAATACAGCAGCGTTGCATGCGTGAATACGAGTCTGTGTGTGCCTATGTGCATGTGCATGTGATACTTTCTGTGTAAGCAAAAAAAAAGTAAGTACTCTTCGAAATGAATTTCTTGTGAGTATTTGGTCTCAGTATTTTATCCAAGTATTTCTTCTATTTCTTCTTTCCACCATGTATTTGTTCTAAGTATTTTCTCCAAGTACATATTTCCTTCAAGTATTTCCACCAAGTATTTCCTCTAAGTCCTCAATGCTTAGCTGAACGATCACACACTTCAATTCACTTCTCTTTACTGTACTGAACTACTGACCTCTAGCAGATCTGGACGACTGAAGAACTGCTGTAGCTGCTGCCCTTTATATAGGACGCCTACCACTCAAAGCACAAGACGCACTCAGGCGACAGGCAGAGATCGTTGCAGTTGAGCATAAAATAACCAATGGGAGCACTCTCTGATGCTTCAAGTATTCTAACTTTGTCTCACTCAACTATAAACACCAAATGAGTACTGCTGCACACATATAGACAACTCAAATGATCTTCTGTAGTTGTTCTTCATCTCGTGTTGTTGTGAAGCAGGCGAACAGAGAGACATACGGAGAAACAGACCATGAAACAGAGAGGCAGATATACAGACAGACAAACGATCATATACATACATATGCAAACAAATATGCTTAGTTTAAGTATTAACAATCTCAGTGGCTATAAGAGCTAGGTTGGTTTATTACTCGTTCAGATCTCGTTTGTTTCTAAAAATCAAGAACTATTCCGTATTTATATGAAACAGGCATTTCAAGAAAAAACTCTTAAAAAGAGCCTATTTATTGCTGACCTTCAAAGTTTATTTTTTCTGTGCAGAATGAATGCATATTGTTTTCTATCAAATGGAATCAGCGCCTTTGGCCAATTAATTTCCAGAGCCATTCATGGCAACATCTTGTGGCGACTTCTCCCGAAACTGTGCAACTAACTAAGCTGAACTGAACTGAACTGTGAAATTGTTTGCCAACTAAATGTAAAAATAGAGACACTCGACACAGATAAGAACGCCAACTTGTTTGCTTAATAAATAAACTTTATATTCATAACTGAAAAAGTTTTGCGGTGTCGGACGCTTAAGCGGAATGCGGCATGCGGCATGTGGCATGCGGCAGGCAGCAGCGCAGCGAAACAAATGTGGCCGCTAATTTGCGTGGCATAAAGTTTTCGTGCGGCGCCCTCGAATGTATGCTATGGAATTTGCGTGGCTGTGGCATGCAGTGCACTGCGGAGGCGCCACGAGCAGAGCGCGACGGCATTTCCGCTGGCTGAGTTAGCTGGCTGAGTGCAAGGCGCACAACATAAATTATGCGAGCATCTTCCGCATCAGCTGCTCCACGCTATCTGCGCCGTGGCCGCTAATCACAAAAGTTTTCGCCAATGCGTTTCTGCTACCTTCAATTGCCACTCGAGGAAACTTTGGCGCTGCCAACGGCAGAGCGAGTGAAAGAGAGAGAGAGAGAGATAGCGGGAGGCAAAAGGGTTAAGCAGAGTTGGCGAAAGTCTCGGATTCCAAACTTTCTGCAGCACTGATTAACGAGACATAATTATTTTTGCATTAAGCGGCGGCTAATAGGCCGTGTAATACCAAAGTTTGTTTTTGCCCTCAGATCAGCTCATCAGACCATCGAAAAAGCGGGGGAAAAAATGTAGAGACACTCGAAGATAATGAAAGTGCATTCAGGTGGCAAAAGTCGGAGACAGGTCGAGTGCTAACATTTTTCCATTATCCGATGTGCCACATTCTTTGCCAGCATAAAAACCAATTTAAATCTAAACAATACGAAAATTCGATGCTCTACAAAGTATTCATAGAGCTGACCTCTAGGGGCGTAGGCAGAAAATGTATGAAATTTTATGATGTTGTATGTGAATTGAAATACAACCAATTAAAAAGAATACGAATATGCAATACTCTATGCTCGCTTGTCTGGGAAACTAGCTCTAGACTTTTAATGTATTATAATTTACTATATTATATGTTACGTACAGTATATGAGCCTCTATTCGCCACATGCTCTCTTGAAGGGTATCAATATGGCTGGGCCGTGGCAGGAGGCAGCCTGGAAAAATGCAACATTTGAGTGCCTGCAGCGAAATGTCTGCTGTTCTATGGTTGGCCAACGCAGCCAGTGTCTGCCTTGATGAGAAAACTGTTCCGAAGCGGAGGGTTAAAAGCTGAAATCGTTTCGAGCCAGCTCAGCCAGTGACAGCGACAGCCATAGCCAGAGCCAGAGCCAGAGCCACAGCCCGATAGCTTGACAACGGAAAGTGTGATTATATTTTCATTTTCAATTTTTTACGGCCAATTAATTTGGCAATTGACGCTTCGCTGGGCGTCTGCGACCGCCCAGATATACGTATATACACAGAGCATATATAAGTGTGGAGAGGGTCTCGCCGCTCGTTGTTGCAAATTGAGTTGTGTGGCAAGAATAAGAAAAGTCTATTATAGTGGCTGCAAAAAGCTGCCTGCCAGCTATTTGGACGCAGCATTGTCTGCCCCGAACAGAATATGAAAGTGCTTTTGTGGGCGGCTTTTGTTGGGGGCGCCCTACCTAATCCCTCTTCCCCACTGCCAGCAATGTCATGCAATTTGCATTAAGATCTGCCATTGAAAATTAGAAAATTCACTCGGCTGCAAGTGTTATTGCTAATGGCAAATGGAAAATGGAAAATGGCAAATGGAATTTACCTTGGTAAAAGCGAAAAACTTATTCTTAATGCACTTATGCATCAGTTGCATAGCTTTATTTAGGGATTACACAAGAAAGAAATTACTACATATAACTATTACATTTCGGAGACATCGGAGAACGAGTTGATTGGGGTCGCTACATCGGTCAGTCGGTCGGGGAAGGTTTGGCACATGGTTTCCTCTGCTTAGTTATCGCTAACAATCAGAACATCCTCCAGCTGTACGTTGGGCAGCTCCAACAGCAGCTGCTCGTTCTCGATGCGGCGATCCAGGGGGAAGCCGAGAGGACGGTTGTCCATTATGGAGGCTACGCTCACGCCCATAACGCCATCCAGGCGCTTCATGCGAATCGGCAGATCGCGTTCCAGGCGCTCGACGGGTGAGACGATCGCTAGCAACTGCATGGGCAGACCCTCGGGGCGGCCACGAGGCAGCAGCAAGCGCTGAGGGAAGCTGCCGTTCTCGCCAACCAGATCGCTGACAATCAGCTGATCCTTCTGATCGCGCAGAGCAGTCATCACACGACGGTAGATCTCGCTGTAGGGCGTGGCATCGCGGGTTGTCCAGGCAATGTTCGTCGAGCGGTACTGAATGCGGTTGCGGCCACTCTGCAGTTGGGTATTGATGGCATCCAGAAGCACAAAGTCCGAGCGGCGCTGCTCCAGGGGCAGCTCACGGCCATTCACATCCTGGCGAGGTCCCAAAAACAGGCGAATGATTACATCCTGTGGGCCGTTCGCGCTTATGTCCATGTCAATGGTGAAGGGCTTGTTGTTCAGACGACGTTGGCGCACCATCATTTGCGACTGCAGAGGCTGACCGACCAGGTTGGTGACATCAATGTCGCTGTCCTCGATGCGAGTGCGCAGTTTGTCCACGCGCAGACCGTTGATGACGACATCCTGCAAGTTCAGGCTCTCACGGTTATAGACGCCCAACTGTTGCTCGCGTATTTCATCCACAATGCCGATGATTCTGCGTAGGGTGTGCAGCAGCACGCGGTCGCCCATGCCCAGGCCAGAGCGGTCCATGCGCACAGTGGTGTCCTGGAGCAGTTCACGCAATATGCGCAGGATTCCAATGTCACCAATGCGGCCGATGAGAACATCGCCGATCACACGCTCCAAGCGGAGCTGCTCGTCGATTTGCTGCACGCCAGATCTACGGATGTTGCCATTGCTAATCTCACGGATCACGAGTTCCACCACCTGCTGCAGGCGACCCTCAATGGCATTGATCTGCTCAAGCAGAACTCGATTGCGACGGGAGTCCAGGCGCATGTCGTTCAAGCGGATGGCATAGCGTTGAGCTTGATCAGCTATGTTCAGGCGGGAGCTGCCGGTCATCTGCAACTCATCATTGACGCGCAGAGCAATGCGTTCTTGGTTCAGGCGTGCCAGCAACTGACGCAGAGTTTGCAGTAGAACCTCGCTGCGTCGAGTCGCGGAGATGTCCAGAGTGTTGACCAAGCTGCGTCGGTAGCGGTGTCCCTGTTCCACGTTCAGTTTCTGTCCCAGCTCTTTTTGCTGGCGATTGCGACGCAGCATCTCGATGATCTCGTCATCGCTGAGCGCGCTTAGACGATTGTCGCTGCGGATCAGACGCATAATGTCCTCAACTTTCATTGTATCCTCGCCATCAACGCGACGACCCTCTGCAATTGTGTTCACACGACGCGGAGTCAGATTTTCCGTTTGTTGGTTAACGCGACGTCTGTTGATGTGCACCAATCGCTCGTCATCACGACGCACAGCTTGGAGGTTGTCAGCTCCAGAGCGGATGTTTTCGTCCTGGCGGTTAACACGCAGAAAGCGTTCCTGCTGCTTCTGCTCCTCGCGGTCGCGGTTGCGACGCACCATCTCACTGATGTCGTCAATGTTGACCTGGCCCAGACGGTTGTCCCCGCGTATCGACTGCATAATTTCATCGTTCTTCCAGGTGTCAATGTCGCCAACACGACGGCCCTCGCTCACGCGGTCGCCACGTACGATGCCCATGAAGCGTTCCTGTTCAGTTTGGTCCTTAAGCTGACGGTTGCGGTACAGTAAGTTAAGGATCTCCTCATCGCTCAATTTCTTCAGGCGGTTATCGCGGCGAATCAGCTGCAGAATGTCCTCATCCTGTATGGCGCCCACACGACGGCCTTCTCCAATCAAGTTATCGTTCGTTTGACCCAGGCGACGTTTATTGATGTACACCAGACGATCATCATTACGAGGGACGGATTCCAAGTTATCGGTAAGGTCTTGCAGGTTATCCTCAATCAAGTTTCTGCGCTTGCCAGTCAGCTCCTGGTCCACACGGCGGCCCTCACTCAATCGCTCGCCACGAACAAAGCCCCAACGTCGCGACTGCAGCTGCTCATCCTCAGGCTCGATGCGGTTCAAGTTCTGGCGACGACGACCGACATGCACCAAGCGATCGCTGCGAGCGTCCACGGTGGGCAAGTCGTTGATGTCATTGGTCGAGGTGCGCTCTTCCCAGTTACCACCCAGCATACGTCTGAGGCCCTGTCCTATGTTACGCAGCAGAGGAACTCGATTGCCGACCAGTTGATTTCTGAAAGGTGTCTCTTCGTCGTCATCATTGTCGCGCTGGTTGCCATAGATGTCTTCATCATCGTTCAGCTGCTGGACCATGCGGCGGCGGTTAATTCCCAGCATGCGATCCTCATCTTCCACTTCGATGTCCCTATCCAAAACGTTGTTGGTCAGTGGGCGGACGTTCGAGTTGTTCTCGAGCAAAGCCAGTTCTTGGATTAGACTCTGAATAAAGTTGCGCAGGCCGATGTCCTCAGTGAGCAGCGAAATGTCCTGATCGTCCTGAATATTCTGAACAGGCAACACCACACGGTTCTGGTTCTGCTGCCACGTCTGTTGCTTACGCAGTGCCAGTTGCAAGTGCAGATCACGCCATGGCATAACCATGCGCATCACAGGATTCATCTGACGGATGCGCTGGCCTAGACCGATCACATCCACGAAAGAGGGTCGAGGGCTGTTCTCAATCTGTGCCTGTACACGCTGGACGCGCTCCAATGTCTGCTGGTCAAGATACAATTCGGGCAAAATCTCCTGCACGGCAGGAACGATTAGCGATTGGGTGTCCTCGCGATCGCGGATAGCTAGTGTCAAGGCGTTGATGAGCAGGACGGGATTAACGTTGCGTCGCAGATAGACGACATTGCGCTCCAGGGTCTCAAAGTCGATGGCGCGCACCAGCAGGCGGTAGATGCCACGCAGCTGCTGAACATGCTCCACATTGCGAATGCTATAGACCTCGCGCTCATCCAGGAGACGACGCTGGCGGTCCAAGTCGATAACGCGCTGCATTTCCTTATCGATGCCACCGCGATAGCGCTCTGGGTTGATAATAAGGCCCTGGTCCAGCTCAATAAGATCATCCTGCTCCAAGGGCTGTTGAACTTGTTGCACAATGTCTAGAATAAACTTCTGGCGCAGCAAGTCCTCCCTGGACATGCGCACGACGCGCTGATCAACTGCGGAGTAATTGAGATCATTTGCAGTCACCGCTTTACTCCTGCTGGGCGACTTACCACTGCCAATGTCCCTCTGATAGTCACGCTGGACAATGCGACCAGCGGACACGGTGCCAAGCACACAGACTACTAGCAGAAGAAACTTATTCATCTTGTAAGTAGCAACTTCCTTGCAAACCAGAAGATGACTGCATTTTCAGCTGATCTCCACGGCGAATTTATACCCATTCTTATCGCCCAGTCTAGGCCTAATTGAATATTTTGAGCATTCGATCTGAACTGGCAACGAAATCGTTATCAGTTCAGTTCCAGGGCATACATTATGCAATTACTTATAGACGGGTCTTCCAGCTAGTTCGAAGTCGAAGTCAAAGGTCGCCAGATTGCACATTGACTGCACTGACGCTGCATTCTGCGGGTTGATTGGCTGCCGATGCAGATAACGGGTCAGCTGAAGACGCTGCTTAATTAGTCCATTGCCCCATTGTTTGCTGCCTTTGTTTCGTCAACAGCTAGAATTTCGCTACCATGCGAGTTATCTGCACATGTTTTCAATTACCGGACTTGGCAGCATTATTTACACAAACAAAACACATGATATGTATGCATACCTATTGTGTTGCTTAATCAGGTGTGATAATTCAGGTGTGTTATCTTCACATAATATTGCATATGCAACATTTTAATTCAAACAATTATGAAATTGGGCCAACTGCATAATTCACTTTCTAATTTGATTGCTCTAGTTCCATGCCCTCTGAGACATGCATATTTGTACATATGTGTATAGTTTTTGATATTTCAATGCATAATCGTTTATAGATATTAAACTGATAAATTTCTACCCGGCCACGCCTCTAAAATAAAAGTGTAGCTATGCAAATTTAGGGCTGAGAATCCGAAAAGGAGGTTTAATAGTAATTCACTCAGCGATAACATATTGGCAGGCCCTCTGAACGTAGATACATATGTATACATATGTACATGTATATGTAGAAATTATATATTTCTATGAAGACTATTTTAAATTTTAAGCCTATCGCAACAATAGTGCTTAAAATTGTACATTAATGGTATAAAACATAATAATATTATATAAGATATTATCTTTTCCGACAATTGTGGACTTTTATTTGCAACTTTTAAACAGATTATTTTATTTGTCACTCCTCCATGATTTTATTTGAAGATTTTGGTTATCTATGCGAGTATAAATGTATATATTTCCAAATTCTAGCACCTCGAACATTTGTTGTTGCACTATTTGCAGTTTTGAATGGCCAATTGGTTTGCGTTCATGCGTACAGACAGACAAATACATACATATGTACATACCACTACGAGTGTACATACATAGCAAGATACGCTTTGTTCAAAATCTATATACTCTTTTCACTTCGCAAGCGTGTATTAAGCAAGAATATTCACTAACAATAGCATATTAGCTAAGTTAAGTAACTTAAATACGCAGATATTGCATTTGCAGTTGTAGCTTTTTCAATTGCACGATCTTTTTTGATTCTAATAGGGATGTGCGATGATTTGATTAGTCATCAAGATATCGATATGTGAAATTTAACGATATTAGTTTATATCCGGCCAGCTTTTGATTACTTGAAGTGCTCGCAATTGTAAATTTAAAATCTTTATTTAAAAGTTTAAAGTACATAGAGAAATGTGTTCTTAATAATTTCCTTGGAATACAAAATATACAGTTAAGGTGAGTGCAACTCCCTCTCTGCATATACTTTTAGCATCATCTGAATAACAAACACCTAAAGCAGCCAAGTCTCTAAGAGAGTGTGCGTGTGCGTGTGTGCGCTCGCATATTTCATTACGTTACGTACATACAATACGTAATAGTGCAGCTCGCAGCATCCGAGCAGCTGTAACGCGGGCTGCACTGTGGGGTCGGGCCCATTGTTGTGATTGGGACAACCGAGTGATTGGCGATTGTGAAAGGATTCTGTCAGCTCTGAAGGGGCGATTGCAATTTTTCTATTCACATTTAAATTGGCAATTCGTTTGGCCGTGGCTTTTGTGTGTTGACAGTCACTTTTTAGTTTTTTTTTCTTTTTGTTGAGCTTTCCTTCTTTTTGGATGCGCTGCGTTGCGACAATTTGCAACGTGCCTGGCATGCAACGGAAGTGAGCGCGCTACGTGGGTGCCACATTGCTGGGACTAAACTGTGGGCATTGTTGCCGTTGCTGTTGCTGCCTTTTCTAATGTAATTGCAATTGTTTGCCGGGCTGCCAAATGGTCAGCAACTTTGATTTGGCCTTTGCTGCTGCACTTTTTCAACTTTTTGCTGCACGAAGCTGAAGGCTCAGCATTTTTATGCATGCCAGGCGCATTTGTGCGCCATTAATTGCTTCTTTATGCTCAGCTGCTGCTGCTGCTATTGCTGGTGTTGCTGCCGCTGCTGCTGCTGCTTCAGCTGCATGTTCAGCAATTATGCAGCGACAATTTTGCATTAATTGCTCCTTTGTGCTGCTGGCCAGCAGCCCAGCCCTGCGTGCCGACTGGCCGACTGTGTGGACAGCGTGCCTACAGTAAAAAAACCAACTAAAAAAGGAGCCTGGCATTGTTGGCGAATGCATTTGCAGCTCCAGCTCTCGCGCTCTGAATGCCGCTGCTCAGTGCTCGGTTTAATTGCTGACAGGCTCATTTGCCGGAGCACAGGGTCCGGGCATAACTTTTATATGCAGCCCTGTCCTGTCCTGTCCATGGCCCATTTCATTAATGCAGTACGCCAGCTCTTTATCGCGCCTTTTGTTGTTGAGAAAATAATTTGTGAAACAAAATGTCATTTATTCTGCAGGGTAATTTCGTATTGTTATTGTTTTCACTCTATTTGTGCGTGAATTTCGAATTTTAAGACTAAGACTATACCATATTCCAGTGTGAATATCAGTATGCGTAAGACATTGTCATCTATGATTCCACTTAACGCACTCGGAGGCAGCCCCATTGCCATGCGATAAGCTGTGCATATCCTTCGCACTGATGTGGGAATGTCAAGGCATCAGTATCTCTGGCTGTCGTCATCCTTGCCATCCAGCCTGCTGCCAAGCAAATGAGGTATAAGCCGGCTGGAGCGGGGCTGCGGTGGTTGCTTTCGCTTCGTTTCGCTTCTGCGTCTCGCCTTGACTTAAATGCGATTTAATGCCTTTTTTGTTTGTCTTCCATGCGTCGGATATCCGTTGACGCAGTGGGCGTGATAAACCACAGGGAGAGTAGCAGAGCAGAGTAGAAGAAGGCGAGGAAGGCGAAGCAGGAGCCGGAGCAGCCTTGTCTGACGGCTTCATTCTCTCGTCCCCATGCCGTGGTGCGTGCCGCGACTGGGTCGCTAATTTGCTTGGCATTTTTTATGTCTCATCTTCGCCTTGGCGTCTTAATCTTATATCCTTTTTTTGGCTGGCTTGGCACTTAAAAAATTTAGTCCTTTGTTGGGCCGATAAAACTGCTTACAAATGCTTAAAAAATTAAAATTTATTACACGCGATTATGTGCCACACTGGCAGCAGCTGCCAGTAGAAAAGGAAAAAGCTTAGAAGTCAAGACCCTACAAGTATCCACTCCCCCTCCCCCAGTCGCAAATACAAGAGATGCAAATGGAGTGCCATCTTTTTCGGTTCGCCATATTTCCGGCCAGTGGACATTGCCCAATTGATTCATGACCCCACAATATCCTCTGCGTAATGGGCAATGGGCAATGGGCAACGGCCGAGGCTACCTTAAAGCGCCAACTTCAGCAAAATAATAACAAGCGGCAAAAAATAAATATAAATATACTACTTCATAGTAATAATGAAGCGCCGGGACAGAAGAAAAGTGCCACGCCAACGCATGGCAAAAAGAAAATATTTCTTTTTATCGAAACGGATGTGAGTGTGCCAGGAATGAAATAGCAGAAGAGAAAAAAAAAAAAATAGAAAAAATGAGAAAGGGCGCAAGGCAAAGGACGACGGACGAAGGACGAGGGTAAGGGCGACGTCGTTCCAAATAAATAAAACAAAAATTTGTACTACACTGCGGGCTGTGTCTGTGGGCAGGGGGAGAGTTATCTCAGCTACTACTACTCCCACTGCGGCCTTTGTCACCTCTTCATGCACGCCCACAGAGTTCAGAATGATTCGCCTCTCCACTCTCCGCTCTCCTCTCTCCCCTCAACCATCTCTTTCTGGCAACCGCATAGAGCAAATCAAACAACTTTCATTTCACACGTTTTTCGTTTGTCCTTTGCGCGCTCCGCTCGCAGTTTTTGTTTGCCTTGAAACAAGTGACTTGAGAGAATGAAATTGAAAGAGCTCCTCAAGTGTGAGTAGTGGCTGTGCGTGAGTGTGAGCTTGTGTGTGTGTGTGTGTATTGGCATTGGCATTTGGCATGAGTGCACGTGTCCTGCGCGTGTCTGCTAGTTTTGATAGCCATTGACTCCTGCCGAGGAGGGCTGTAAGTAGTTGACCCGTTAAATTTTGATAATTGATTTGCCAGCTATTGTTGTCTCTGGCTGCTGGCTGAGGGAATCCGCAAACGTCTTATGCGAAAGGAATATGGAATATTTATTGTTTTCACTCTCTCGGTAGCGCATAATCCAGCAGTTCTAGGCAAGAGAACGTTGCATACATCTGGGCTAAGCCTAACCAACTGTTAACTAATTATTTACTTGGGCATGGCTATCGCTATATCACTTAATTACCAGATCTTTGGTGCTCGACTGCAGATTGACAAGCTCATTCAAGAAATGCCCTCGTCTGGCTTCCGGTCTGTTCTATTCTGTTCTGTTCTATTCTATTCTCTGGCTGGGGGCTTGCAGTACTGTGGAGCTTATTGTCCTGAGCGCCTTGTGGGCTGGCTGACAACTTCATTGGGCAAATATTTTTGTAGCATTTCGTAGTGCTTCGCACAAGTGATTTGCACTGTGACTGTGACTGTGCCTCGACTCGACTCGGGTGAGGTCAAATACAAATAGAGAGGGACTGTCTTTATTGCCGGGTCTCTGGGTCTCGGACCAGGACACTATAAAAACGACCTTGCGGCAACAAAAGGCAGCCAGACGTGAGCTCTCATTCGCTTGTGCTCTGTCTCTTTGTGTGTGTGTGTGTGACTGTGCAGACAATCAGCGCACGACTTTTGGCTGCCGAGTTGGAGTTGCCAGCCCAAGGGTGGGGGCTGCATTGGTGAGGGGGGCTTTGCT